TATTAAGTAGAACAAAAAAATACTAAAAGGAATAAAATAGTAAGCTGTTCCTTGACAGTCAGGACAAGGGCTGATCAAATCACTGTTTCTCATAGTGTCCATTTCACTTCAACAGGTTTCTTTTTTGGTGCTCAGTTAGCTGTCACAGATCAGGGAGAACATATATTTGTCCCTTTGGGACTGGCGTATTTTACTCAGCATGATGTTTTCCAGATTCCTCCATTTTGTGGCAAATGACCAGATTTCATTTTTTTTACTGCTGTATAATATTCTATAGAGTATATATCCCATAATTTCTTTATCCAGTCTTCTGTTGGTGGGCATTTAGGTTGATTCCACGTCTTAGCTATTGTGAATTGAGCTGCAATAAACACTGAGTTGCAGACAGCTCTTTTATTTGCCAATTTAATTTCCTTTGGATAAAAGGAAATTAATTTGGGATGGCTGGGTTATATGGTAGGGTCATATTCAGGTTTCTGAGAAATCTCCAAACTGACTTCCATAGTGGCTTTACCAGTTTGCATTCCCACCAACAGTGGGTTAGTGTCCCTTTTTCCCCACATCCTCTCCAGCATCTATTGTTGGTAGATTTCTGAATGTAAGCCATTCCAACCGGGGTGAGGTAAAACCTCATTGTGGTTTTGATTTGCATTTCCCTGATGGCTAGTGTTGAGGATCAACTCTTGTTGGCAGCCAAAGTCCCCTCTGAAAGGCCCTAAGTTAGTACTCTGCCCCTTCTTTAAAAACCTGGGACCAAGGCCAACGCCGTGGCGCAGTAGGCATCCCATATGGGCGCCGGTTCTAGTCCCGGCTGCTCCTCTTCCAATCCAGCTCTCTGCTGTGGCCTGGGAAAGAAGTAGAAGATGGCCCAAGTCCTTGGGCATCTGCACCCGCATGAGAGACCTGGAAGAAGCACCTGGCTCCTGGCTTCAGATTGGTGCAGCTCCAGCCGTTGTGGCCATCTGGGGAGTGAACCAACGGAAGGAAGACCTCTCTGTCTCTCCCTCTCACTGTCTATAACTCTACCTCTCAAATAAATTTAAAAAGTAGAAATAAAAAAATAAAAACATGAGGCCTTAACTTGCTGTATTTGCCATTTCTTAATTTAAGTGTGATGGCACTGACCTTGTCTTCCCTTAAAGTAAAAGTTGTTTCTCTTGTATCTGAAATCATGCAGCCTTTGTCATCATAGACCTACAGGCACATGTGTCTAAAGTACATCACCTAATTTAGACAGACCTGCAGCCACGCTGACAAAAACATATCTTGATTGAAGGCATTACAGATGGTACAAAACCAGATTTCTACTGCATCAATATCAACATGTTTCCATCTGGCCAATCTGACAAATGTATGCTTAATATAAAGTTCAATCACTGATACAACTCAAGGCATGCATGATGTTATGAAAGTTAATAATCGATTTTACATCATTAAAATATAGTCCTAAAAGAAGAGTATGTTGTCAACATTAGAATTGTATCCAAAAGCCTTGTATTTTAGAATAGCATAGTTTTCCTATGTAGTCAAGCCCCCTATGTAAAGTGTTTGAAATTTCTTCTTTCCAGTTTAATCCTTTTTGTCAAGTGTTACTGGATAAGATTACTCTATCTCTGTTATTGTCTGGCGATTGGGAAGAGGGAATTAAAGTCTGCATTTGCATACAGAAGACACAAAGTCAACAAAGCTTCCAAAATAAATCATCTCCATAGGACAAGAGCTAATATTCTTTTTCCTCTTTAAAAAACCATAATGTTAGTAAAAACGTAATATGCCTGAGAGGTTCCAATTCTGAAAATGAAGACTCATAATATGGTAACAGAGTATACCAAAGTCCGAAAGGCAGTAGACTTCATCCCAGTGCAGCATGCTGGTACCAAGCCATGAAGTTATCCTATTATAACGTGGAGAACAGTCGTAGCACTGCCACTGCACACTCTGGGCTTTCTCGAGTGTCATTTTCACCCATGACTTAGGAGATTTTCCGGTTGGAAGCCTCATCACCAGTGTGCAAACTGAAGCTGTTCCAGAGGCAGTGGGGGAGGAGCAGCTCTGGTGGCTATGAGCTGAACCCACAGGGCAGATATACGAGTCTGGCGGCAGTGTAAGAGACGGAAAGAACCACAACAGGAGGTGACGGCAAAGAAGACGGTCAGAAGCGCGATGGCAGAATGCAAAAGGACAGCAGGAAGCCAAAAAGTGAAAGTTGCATGGGGAATAGAAAAACAAAGAGGTGAAGGACAAAGAAAAGGAAAAAAAAAAAAAAAGTAAATAATCTTTGGGTACATGACAGCAGCATGAGCCCCATGCCTGTACTTTTGACGGCTGTTTTGGTTAAGTCACAGATGCTAGCCAATGACCAAATACAGGATAGGAATCCAGGCACAAATCCATGAGCCACAAGAGCTGGAAAATCACCACCACACATTTTTTCAAAACACACAAATCTGAGTCTCAAGCCAGCGAACGGCATGTAAGTTACTGCCATGTTGACTCTGAGTTACTAGAAACCGTGACGTGCCGTCAAGGAAATTCACGTTTCATGCCTCAGCCTGAAACCGAGTCAACACGAAACAGAAGAATGCGATGCTGGTTTCGTGGCTGCAGAGCACACCTGCCACCCAGACACGTCCTGTGGTCGCTATGTTTCTCTGCATAGCACTTCTACCCTGGCCCTCTCCATACACTGGTCTGTCTTTTCTATTTAAAATGAATTCTGGCAGGACCTCCTCTGAGTCGGCTGTGAGGCAGATCAAGCTGGCTTTTGATGTCCCTGTACCTCACCTTCCGGTCCCGTACCTCACATTCCTTCTTGGACCTAGTATGCTTCCCTGTTTTCCTGATTCTTCCATTCTACTGAAAGCAATGTGCTCTCAAGGAACAATCTTCAATCATTTTTAACAAGAGACATAACAAATCATCAATGAGAAAAAAGGAAATTTTGGTAAGGTACCAGCTGTTTAATAAAAGCTTCTAACTAAGGAATGACGGGACACCAAATTAAAATATACTTTATAAATTAAATTCTCTGAACATATTTTAAGCTGGTGGTGAAAATTTCCAATCAAGGGCCAAGGTGATCAAGGAACTCTTCAGAATTAAAGGAATTAATTACAGGCATTCTTTATTTAACTTTCGAATCAGCCCATTCATCCCCTTGCCCACATGTGAAGTTGATGCAGACTAGCAGGTGGTATAGTCCTTGGCCTGTGGCAAATTCCAGAAGGGGAACTGAAACAAAGCTCCTTATTATTATTAAATCAATTCATTCTAACCCATTCACATTTCTGGAATTTCCAACCAAGGAAAATCTGAATGGGTTATTAGAGGTGTCATATTCAAATGTTAAATCCTTCAGCAGAAGTGAACTTGGCTATGGAGAATTTTTGTTAACTTCCCATGATCAAAACCTGAGGCAAAAGGCATCCAAATGCACAAGGTTTGGAAACAACATCACCAACTGCAATCTGATGTGAAGACTCTAGTACAATGACCCTAGCACCCACGGTGGTGCTAGGTAACCGTCACACTTAAGCAAATAGTGTCCCCTTGCCAGATCATGTCTAGAATAAGTGGCAGAAGCTTTCTGAGCTACAAGAATAGCAAGATTTGGAAACAATGATCTTATTAATAAAATTTTACATTGAACTCCTAGGCCATACAAATTTATGAATTTGCTCTATATCAGGGTAAGGGGAGTTTTTTCCTACGAAGGACCATTCAGATTTTTTTTTTTAGTTTTTTGCCAGGCAGAGTTGGACAGTTATAGACAGTGAGAGAGAGAGAGAGAGAGACAGACAGACAGACAGACAGAGAGAAAGGTCTTCCTTCCTTGCTTCACTGCCCTAATAGCCGCTACGGCCAGCACTGCGCCGATCCGAAGCCAGAAGTTGGGTACTTCCTCCTGGTCTCCCATGTGGGTGCAGGGGGCCAAGCACTTAGGCCATCCTCCACTGCCCTCCCGGGCCACAGCAGAGAGCTGGACTGGAAGAGGAGCAACCGGGACTAGACCCTGGGGTGCCGGCCCCGCAGCCGGAGGATTAGCCAAGTGAGCCACAGCGCTGGCCCATTCAAATATTTCTAACATCGCTTGCGAGCCATATAAAACTATCAAATTAAAAATTAGCCTGCTATAGATTTATTGCATTTCAAGTGCCATCTGTGGTTGCCAATGATTTCACGGGCCTAATACAGCCCATGAACCAGATGTTCCCGGCCCCTGCTCCAGAAGATAGCTCTACCTCACAGACAGGAGTTCTGGTTTACCCACAAACATACAATTAACTCTCAGTGCAGTGCCTGGCAAATCAGAAACTCAAAACTGTTTTCCAGTGAACACATGACTGTAGGTGTGAATGCATGAACAACCTCAGCAATATTACACCATGACTGGTATAGGCAGGTGATTACAGACTCTTCCCACAGCACAGAGGTGTCTCAGCCAAGAAGGATTACAGAAGGCAGGCCTACGAGGAAATGGGAGGTTGACGTGAAGGACCCCTAAGAAAAGGAGCACTACTGAAAGTTCTCTTGTTGATAAGAATGATCACTCCAGCAACTCTGCACCTGTGACAAGAGCACATGGCCCAAACACACACCTGAGTGCCACTGGAGGAAAGCTACAGAGTGCTTCAAGGGGCTCTTCAGATGCCTGGATCTCAAAGAGCTGCTTCTGCCCCGCAAACAGTGCTTGTATCACGACATCCTCATCTGCCTGCTTTCACAGATCTCTCCCTACAAGATTGTCCTACTCAATCACTTGCCAGAATGTTCTCACTTTCTGTGCTCAAGACAAGGTGTCTTCCAGCAAGCTGTTGAAAGCTGTAAGTACTGCCCAAAGGGTCATGAGCTGCTCAAGATACTTTCACTTGGAATCATTGGAGATGGAGTGCTGGGTGGCAAGATACATGGATACCCTGTTTCGCATCACCAGAGGAAGCAGGGGACCCTGCTGTCCCAGTGCATCCTGCCAAAGTGGCCTTCTGGTTCAAAGAACTTACCGGAGTGCAGAATGCCTTCCAGAGCGGGACACGCTGTTGCCCACAGGCGATGGCAGGTTGCTCCCTCTGTGCAGGTCCTCGATGGACCTGCTCCAGGGCTTTGATTTGTCCACCGAACTCTCCACAGTACTCTCCACGCTCTCAAAGTCAAAACTACAATGAAACAGAAATGCCACCAGAGACTCAAAACTCCAGTTGCATACATACATGGATGTGTGTAACCTGCTATTCCTACAGTACTTGGCACTCTAGTATGGAGAGTCTGCAAACAAAGGCAACACAAAATAATTTCTTTGGACTGCATGTTAGCTTTGAAAATACAAAATGACAAATACAGGGCCTGACGAAATAATAACAATGAATGGTGAAAATTAAATAGCGATGAACTCTGTGCTTTACTCCAAGGCTCACTAACTTACCTAGGGCTAACACTGCTATGATGGAAAGGAAGAAAAGACCCTACAGCTGTCTTCATTTTGCTTTAACAAGTCAATATGTTAGGCTTATACTAATTTATTCCTACCCATCAATTTTCAGTGAGCATTTTCTCTGGGCTTGTTGGCAAGGGTACTTTTCCAACCATATGTAATACATTACTAGCAAAGTTATGGAACGGCTTTGATTTTGGAGTCTCTTCCCAATGTGGTGCTCTTTAAAGTGAGACTGTTGTTTCTCTGATATTTTTTGAGGTTATTACTCATGTTAACCATGTTAGAATAACCAGCAAGTTACGTTGCTCATTCTTGTATAGTTTTAGTGATGTTTTTCAGACAGGCCTTTGTGTTCCATGGTTTTTTACCCTCACAAAGTCAGTAACTGCTCTCTCGAAAAACCAGCATATTGATTGTTCACCTAGTTCCATCTAGCAACAGCCGACGAGAGGCAGAAGAAGCAGAAGGCAGCTGTCATTAACATCCTCTGAAAGATTTTTAGGAGATGTTGCAGAAGAAAAAAGCAGTAATTTGTGCTGGAAGTAATAATGCTTTTTATAAAAGTATGACTACCAGAATCAAATATTGGGTTAGAGTGGCCATCTAGGTTTCACTCTACCTACTGGACAGCACAGACTGATGCACCAAGTCAGTGGAGGGGTCTGATCACGGACAGCTTTGTCTGTCTTTGCACGCAGGAAACAATGCTGAACAGAAAAGAAGGAGAATGGGGTAATTTCATAAAAAACTGAAAACAAAGCCTCTAATTGAGATTGGACAAGCCAAGCGGCGGGGGGGGCATGGAGAGATGATGCAGAGCATTGCCATTGGCACCAGGTCCCTCTGTAGCCTTCATGTAATCCAGCTGTTCAGAGAATTAAGTTACTCTCAACTCATCTCTACTCTCACACAGCAGACAAGGCCAACAGCCACCTGAGTGAATGCCTCTATTTTAAGGACCTGCTGCCTCACATACTACTGGATAGAAAATTGCTACATGCCAATGAACACTAAGCAAATTTTCAGCCCATTAGTTTTAAGAAAGACAACAATTTATGTACCTGCATATAATTTATTACCTAGTTAAAACAACCAACACTAAGAATGTTAAAAGAAATGTTAAATAATGTTAAAAGCAAAGAATGTTAAAAGAAAAAAAGAACAGTGAAAAAAATAAATAATGGTACAAGATTAGGAAACAAATCTGACTTCTGATCTTTTAATGGACACTGTATTATGCTACAGACTGTAAGACTTCCCTTATGGTAGCACAGCCATTCCCCGTTGGTCCTGTGTTAGGGGACATTTGGGAGAGCTGGTTCAAACAAGTTCTGCTGTCATGTGGGTAAAATTCCACTGCAGCAAATACAGAATACGCAGCACGTCATTCTTATCCATCAGTCCTAATGCTTCTTAGTCTTCCTTTAATTTCATCAGTCTTACTCCAGATTTCAAACTATACAACGTGGTAATATTCTGCATTGTCACATAATATGACGCCTCAGAGAGATCAGCTATGAGAACTAGGATTATATTTCAGAGGACAATTTCTCAGGAAGATAAGCCCTTGCCTGTTGATTTTTCTTAGTTTCTTCCATCTAATGTATGAGGTATCAAAACCCATCCAGCCAGTTTCAGGGAACAATTTAGTTTCTGCATTTGTAAAGCAGGAATAATTATAGCTTCCTCTTCACAGATTGTCAGGGAAGAGATGGGGATTATAGGATAACATCTGGGCAGGTCTTAAGACTGACTCTTGCAGTGATGCAATACAAAAGCCATGTTATTGCTTTTTTTTATAAGAGTGAAATAAAAGAAAAACAACATCTGTGTTGCAACATTTTATAGTCAAAGTACAATATTATTGACTCAATCTGTGTATAAGAGTGTTATCTGTGGATATTATAACATTTTTTGATTAAAAGAGAAAAGGTGAGAGGGTCTCATTCAAATGTACACCTTCCAATCTTCTTGTAATATATTTCTGAAGCCAGGAAAATAGAACTTTTATGAAATAACAAAAACAATGTTAAATAAGAACAGCCTCCCCCAACCCCAGCCCTGGCTTTCCCATTTCTTTTTTGCTCCCCTTCAACTTGAGGCCAGGAAATCAAAGCAATGTAGACACATATATCATCAATAGAAAAAGCCTCTGGTTTACCTCTTCTTCCTCTAATGCCACTGTGTTTGGTATGTATTTCTACAATATTTTCTATGCATTTACTAGGCAAACACAAACACACACATGACATTATTTTCAAATCGAAAAGGGAGTTATTCTTCACCACTGTCCTTTATTTACAATATGATAGAGCCCCAAGTCTGTGGGAGGGAAATGGGCATTTGGCCTAGCAGCAAAGATGCCCACGATCCCTATCAGAGTGCCTGGGTCTCGTTCCTAGGTCAGGCACCTGACTCCAGATTCCTGCCAATGCAGATCCTTGGAGGCAGCAGCTGCCAGTTGAAGTAATTAGGTTCCTGCCACGCACGTGGGAGACCTGGATTGAATTCTATGTTCCAAGCTTTGGCAGGGTCCACCTCTGGCCATTATAGTCATTTGGGAAATGAACCAGTGAATGAGAGGTTGCTCTGTCTTCTAAATAAATAAAGTACATGGAAAATGGAACTAATGGATGAGTTTATTTTGTTGCAAAAAAAACTGAAATACATTCATAGTTTTTTCATGAGATGCGTTTTCCGTGAACTTTTTAAAGCCTCTTTTGTATGCATGGATTCCAAAAGATTTTTTTCACCAAAATAAACATTTTGAAGTATTCTCAGCTATCATACCTATCTCTTTCAGTGACTGCTAGAGTATCCTACCATCTAGATATACACACCTTAAGCCTTATTTTGAAAATAGAGACTGCTCTAAGGGTAACTTCTTCTCATCAGCTTTCTTTCTGCCTTAAAGGCATTTTTAATACCAAGTTTGTGATTTCATCTTAGTCTCCCAAACAGAGACAATCTCCCTGAAACACCACCACATCTGCCTGGGGTGGGCCCCCCTCCGTTTGGAATGTAACTTTACGGTCGAGCGCCATCTTCTGTGATCACGTAAAACTCGAATGCAGGCGAGCCCAGCTTTACTTACGTTACTGCGTACTGTGCAAATGACAGATATTCCACCAGAACATCGAGACCTTTGTTTTCTTCATTCAGAAACTCTCGGACCCATCTGTTGAAGAAACAAAACAAAAATCACCGCCGCGGTTGATCGCAGGGTCTGCCGGGGAAAGGATACAGTAGGAATTTTGTTTTGGCACCAGAAACATTCACTGCCTGAAGGAAGATACAGGAGAAAGGCCTAGACTACTGCACACAGGGAAGGAGCTCTCGGTTACAGGAACTAAGAGAACCCCAACATTCCAGTGTGCCACAAGAAGGAGCAAAGAGTGTACATGTGCCATCCTTGCATGGTTGTGAAGAGGAGACTCAGGAGAGCCTGTAAGAACCCATCTTTATATAGGAACTTGCTAAATGGACTTTTCTACTACAACTGATAGTCTGCTTGGTTGATGAACCCAAAATTGCACGGGGAACGAGGCAAACTGGGGACATGACAAGGTAACCACTGAAATCCAGGCCTGATGCCAAGCCCACATTCCACTCCCTCTTGGCACACTGAGCCACAGAAACCACTAAACTATCCAGTAAGAGACCAGTGTTTATGGGCTTCTGGAAATTCAATAGGGATAATGATTTGCTTAATTTTTTCCATGAACACTAAAACCTTTTAAAAGGCAGCAGGCACCAAAGACTATCACACCAAGACCAACATGTGACAAATATCATGTTGTTTAAAAATTATTTTTAAATCATGCCACCTTGCATTCAAGTAGTGCTGAAAACTTCACAGAGATTGATTGCCCATTTTTATTTGTTCTTCAAAAGAACTCCTAGAGAGTAGAGAAGCAGAATCTGTAGGTGCTGAGGATAAATACCTCACACCCCTTTTTACAGATTTCCTCCAGTGTACTCACCTCCAAAGAACATGTGGGCCAGAATGCACCTTCACTTGGTTTCAAACTCCAACTAATATAAAAAGAGGGTGGGTATTTGGCTCAGTGGTTAAGCCACTAGTCAGGGCAGCAGTGTATCCCATCAGAGTGTCTGGGTTTGAGACTCAGCTCTGCTCCCAACTCCAGCTTCCTAATGCACACCCAGGGAAGTAGCAGTGATAGGTCAAGGACTTGGGTCTCTGCCACCTTCATGGGAGACCCAGATGGAGTTCCTGGCTTTGGCCTGGCCCACTCCTATTCCTTAGGGGCAAATGGGTAGTAAACCAGTGGATGGAAGCTCCCTGAGGTTCTGTTCTCTCTCTTTCTCATGAATAAACTAAATGTTTTATATTTGACAGAGTTATAGACAGTGAGAGAAAGACAGAAAGGTCTTCCTTCTGTTGGTTCACTCCCCTAATGGCCGCTACGGCTGGCGTTGCGCCAATCCAAAGCCAGGAGCCGGGTGCTTCCTCCTGGTCTCCCATGCAGGTGCAGGGCCCAAGGACTTGGGCCATCCTCCACTGCCCTCCCGGGCCACAGCAGAGAGCTGGACTGGAAAAGGAGTAACTGGGACTAGTACCCGGTGCCCCAACTGGGACTAGAACCCGGGGTGCTGGCGCTGCAGGTAGAGGATTTGCCAAGTGACCCATGGTGCCGGCCTAAATTTTTAAAAAGTAAAAAGATGGGCTAGTATGACTAAAATGACATTTTATGTATATCCACAACTACCTTCCAAAATGGTAGTTTCCCCCATGAACACGAAGCCAAAAAGGTGGAGAAGCTACCATGAAAACCAGGTTTTCCAGCTACTAAAACAGTAGGACAATCCTATCATGTGCCCCTTGGGATGAACGACCCTTCAAGATCTTTGTCTTCAAAGAAAAAAACGCAGCGACATCAGGATGCCTCTTGTGTTTGTTTTTGTTTTTGTTTGAGTAGGCGTTGTTTTATTTGTCTTATCCTCAAGCTTACTCTTTCTTCTAGTCCTATCTACTCCAGGTTAACTCAGGTCTGCAGACAGTTTCAGGAGCCTATCCTATATTTTCCCCCAAAATGCTTCAGGTAAGCTGCCACAAAACTCATGTGCTTAATAGAACCTCACAGAGTGCATACACTGAATTTGAAGGAGGCTAGAGTGGCAAAACGGGCAAAGAAAACATGAGCCATTTGTTCTTTCAAAGTGTCTTTGTTATGAGATCTAAACACAACCAGCAGGGCTGGCCACTGGTTCCAATTGTAGTTTCATTTCAAAACAGACACACACATGATCTCACAGCCATCTGCTTCTAGATCCATACTTTAGTTTGATTTATTTTAATTACTGCCTATGCTGCTGGGTCTCCAGAGGCCCTAAACATTTTTAAATGCTGATAATTAGACTCAGAAATAGTGAATAATTTTTTTCTTTTTTTTTAATTGGCAAGAGACTTAAAGACTAGAACACACTAAGGAAAACAGGTGACCAGTCTTCCTTTCAGCTCAAGCCCCTTCATTTCTCTTAGGCACTTCCGTTGGTCTGGCTCATGGGTTGGCCATGATTGGTAATGTCATTTTAACATGAAAAATAACCACATGGGTCCACACTGTTCAGGGCATTCTGGGTTTCACATTGTCTGTCTCCAGAGCCCATAACGCTCTGAGGAGTTGAGAAAAAGAGCCATTGCTGCTCCTCCTGATTGTACCTAAAGAGTTCACACCACACAGATGCCTCTCGTGTCTGCCACTGTGTCAACCACTGGCACGTCTGTCCCACTCAGAAAGTTAAGCCAGAAATTGGACAGGAGGCAACCATTAACTGCAGCACCAAAAATAGGCAAAGGCCAAGTGTACAGGCAGAGCTACCATTCTCTTGATTCAACATCTAATACTTATATACTTTGATGCAGTGATAAAGATTATTGTTTTCTCTTACTTTATTTCAAAATTCTTATTGGTACTCCATTGCCAATTGCTGTTGGCATTGTGGTACAGGAGGTTAAGTCACCACCTGTGACACCGCATCCCATGCAAGCACAAGTTCAAGTCTTGGCTGCTCTGCTTCAGATCCAGCTCCCTGTTAATGCACCTGGAAAGGCAGCAGATGACAGCCCAAGTGCTTGAGTCCCTGCCACCCATGTGGGAGACCCAGATGGAGTTCCAGGCTCCTAGGTTGAATGTGGCCCAGCCCTGGCTACTGCAGCCATGTAGAAAGTGAATCAATAAATGGAAGATCATTCTGTGTCTCTCCCTCTTTCTCGCTCTGTCCTTCTGTCTTTTTTTTTTTCTTTAAGATTTATTTTACTTGAAAGTCAGAGTTACACAAAGAAAGAAGGAGAGGCAGAGAGAGACAAACAGACATATTTCCATCTGCTGGTTTACTCCCCAATTAGCAGCAAGGGCCAGAGCTGCATCGATCCAAAGCCAGGAGCTTCTTCTGGGTCTCCCAAGTGGAAGCAGGGGCCCAAGGACTTGGACCATCTTCTACTGCTTTCCCAGTCCATAGCAGAGAGCTGGATCAGAAGTGGAGCAGCTGGGTCTCGATCCTGCACCCTTATGGAATGCCAACATTGCAGGTAGCAGCTTTTCCCACTACACCACAGCACTGGCCCCACTTCTGCCTTTTAAATAGAGAAATAAATGTTCTGCTTTGCTTTTAAAAAAGGACAACTGTCAACGTGAAAGGTAGGAGCTAGCTGCTAACTTCCTAACAAGTTGACAAGCATGTGACTTGTCCTGCTTCTGGTTTAATTCCATATGGCTAACATCTTTTCTTAAGCTACAAGATCCTCCCTGGGTCTCTGATCTGGCCCTGACACTCCTAGGTCTTTTAGGAAGGAATGGAATGAGATACAAATTTTCAGGGGTAACTGTTCACTCCCTTTATCAAAAGCTATCAAGTTAGCAAAGTCATTTCAGCAATAAGAGTATGTATTATAAGAAAAAAAAAACAACTAACGTTCTGTCCCTATCCTTTCCCTCTTGGGATATTCTGTCCAAGACAGAAGAGAATTGAGATGGAACTCCCATGTGGAAAGGAACAGTAAGAAAGAAACTAAGTAATGACGGGAAAGGGTAACTTTCAAAGCAGGATCTGGAATCTGAGTTCATTAAAAGAATATGGATACTTCATTTTACAGATTTTTATATATGAGCATACAATTATATTATAAATTTAGGGTTCCTGTACTAAAGTATTCCCATTTTCACCTCTATGCATGCTATATACTTTTATGTGTGTTGCCAGTAGGCAAATGGGTTCAAATTGGGTGATTACAGGTTTTGGAAAGTAGGCTTATTTCTGACTCTGACGGCACACATTACCTCCTGAGCGCCTGAGACTCCGTGTGATTACCGTTTGTTGTGAATTTGAATTTAGGCAAATTCCAAATCACAGGCTTAGAAGCTAGAGGAGACAGGGATAATGAAAAAGTGCTCTAGGAAAAAAAAAATGGGCTCAGGGAAAGCAGAGCCAACAGTCACTGTTTCACTGCAGCCTGGTCAAAGCTTTGCTCTCGCTGCTGCCTCAACCCTTATTTTGTCCTCATTGCGCTCACATGGAAAATTAAAGTCTTAAGGGAGTCTCCTGGCTTTCAATTTCTAACATCAAGCAAACGGCCAGAAGATACACAAGAAAAAGGGATAGTGATTCTCTTTGCCAGTCTCTAGTACTTTTTTTAATTTCTAAATTCTTATTTATTTGGTTGGCAGAGAGACTCAGAGAAACAGATAGAGCGCTCCCACCCACTGCTTCACTCCCCGAATGCCCCCAGTGACAGAGCAGCCAAAGCCAGGAGCTGCAAATTCAATCCAGGCCTCTCATGTGGGTGGCAGGAACCCGACTACATGGGCCTTCAACTCTGCCTCCCAGGGTCTTTGTTAGCAGTAAGACAGAGTCAGAAGCTGCAGCCAGGGATCGAATGCAGGCATCTTAACCACTAAGCCTCTCAAACCAGTCTCCTATGGAGAGAGGCCCTACAGACATGGTGGGAACTGAAGTTGCTGAAAAAATTCACAAGAAGCAAAAGGCAAATGAGCATCATGCAGACTCAACTATGGTCAAAAAATGTACTTTGGTAGGCAGTGTTGCAAATTGCTTCTCAAGGTACAGCAAACCCATCATCAGAGGTCCCTGAAACCCTGTTGGGGTGACTATGTGGGTAAAACTATTCTTGTAAAAAATATCAAGACATTAGCTGTT